GCATTCTTCTTGCTTTTAATTCCATGTTTAGCTTTTAACTTCAAACCATTTAAGTTTTGAGGTGACTTGAAGCCATCAAAGATTTCCACTGATTTTTAGGTGGTGCAGACAGCGGTGACAGAATTGGCTTTTTCCTGTGTTACCAGGGCAAAAGGAGATAGGAGTGCTATTCCAAAGCCTTAGGGCTTTTTCTGTTTGATTACCAGCACATTTTAATAAGCACTTCAATGGGCCTGACTTTGAAAAGAGCAGGAGCTTGCTTTTCTGCCAAGCTTTATCAAATTTAACATGCAGTTTGACATATTGCAACTTGAATATTAGCATGTAGAAATGACTAGTTGGGTGCTAAGCAGGTCATTTGCCTGTGCAGACGTGTTGATTAAGAGAACATGGGACTGAAGGGCATTTTCCAGCAACCAAAGGGCAAATCCTTTCATAAACTGAACTTCCACAACTCTCTATTAGCAATGGAAGTGGAGTATTTACTCAGTGCTTTGCTGCACAGTCTGTTGTTTTAATCTTACACTAACTGCATAGTAGTGATGCTACTTCTTTTAATTTCATCCTTCCATTTTCCATTTTAATGTGTTTGGCTTTTATGCCTTGTTTTAGTTTCCTTTCCAACAGCTGACGAGCACAATTTTTTTAATTGAGTTTCCTTGCTTAATCAGGAGGCTTTGACTCTTTTGTTTGGATGCTAAACATTCCAAACAGGACAGGCTACCCTTGTCATTTTAGCGACCTGACAGTCATCCTGTAGTCTCCTTGTTGCTTCTGTTCTTGTTCCTAATGTCTTTTCTGAGATGTTTGCTCATTCAGTTAATTCTTCAGTCTTTTTCAAAGGATTTTCCGCTGCATTGAGGATGCAAATCTTGCAATTTTAACTTAAAAGAAATTTGACACCTGAAGTGTCAACGTGTGTAAATCCTTGAATGTGTTAAACACAAAAGCAATAATTTGTACTATTCCCTTCCCTAAGTGATTCTACAAAGCCATCATCGGTCTCTGTAGGAGCAGAGGTCCTGAGCCGCGGTTGGCCCCCCGCATCTTCTCTACAGCAACAACTGATTCTGAGCTTACTGCCAGTTTTCTCATGAGGGAGGAGTTGTAGGGCATCTTGCACCTCTCTCCAAACTCTTTTAGATGTGTAAGCAGTAGCTCGTAACCAAGCAGTATCCTCACATATCACCAATGTTGTGGCAAGTTAGATCAGGATAATCTAAACCTGAATTTAGAGCAGGATTTTAAAGTTCCCTTTAAAAAATAATATCTCTTTATGAATTTTATTAATATGCTATATTTATCCCTTGCATACAAGACAATTTTATTTTCCACATTCTACTGAATTTACTTGTAAGCTTCAAAATACAATGCTTTTTTTTGTTTCATAAATTTCAGTTTCACAGTGCTTCTCAGTTTCAAGGAGCAACTTAAAAGCTGCGGTATTTGCTATAAGTAAGTGCTTCTGATGGATATTTGGAGCTTTGTGCATTGTTAATGAATGACCCTGATTTATATTCTTGCTGGAGTATTTGCAACAGGACATCCTGCATAACAAGTGACATATAGCGATTTTAACAGACCAAAGATTGAGCAGCTATATAGATTTTTTTTTTCCTAGCGTTGTCTTTTCCGAGACCTGTCTGTGATACTCCTTTTATTTTGATTTTAACACACTAAACTTGCTTTAAAATAAAAGGATAAACATGAGAATATACTAGTCCATTCATAAATACTTTGTTTTTAAGAAACAATGCAATCCCTCTCCTAGATTTGCTAACTAGCTCCACCTTCTGGGGACTGAACATCCTTACTAATTGTGAACAAGAATTTTCAGTGTGAGCAAGGAGTAGAAGATTGTTATTGATAACTTAATCACACGGGGGTATAGTCTTATCTTCTTTCCTTTTGGCAAGTACAATCTATTTATATTCTATAATAAAATAATTTATCCTTCCTCAGTCATTAGGGTAAGGTTTCCTACAAACTTACAATTTTTATTTTTTTCTACAAAGTAAAATACATATGTAAATAAAGCTCTGTATTCTTTGGGACATTAAATACTCAGTAGGATTTATTTTTAATGTATTTAGCATGAATGTCCTTTAATGAAAAAATGGCCTTCAGAGTTTCAAATCTTTGAATTCCTTCTTAACGCAACTATTACTGACAAAAATTACTTATGTTAGTAAGTTAGTATTCCAAACATGTAGTCTCCCCCAAAAAATCCTTGTGAGAAAATGATCTTGAAGCTACTACAAGTTATGTGCAAAATAATTTGGAAAATCATAATGGAAGGTAGTTATCAGTTGTTTACTGCCAACCTGGAAGGCTGCATGAAGTACCATCCACTTACATTTGTTCTGGGTCCAGTATTATTCAATATTTTTATTACTGACTTAGCTTATGAAATATGGATGATGCTTATAAAATTTGCAGATGCTTAAAGCTGGGAGACGTTTTAAGCACCAATGGGAGCAGGATTAGAATGGATCTTGATGAAATGGAGCCCTGAAATATTAGGATGCCGTTCAATAAGGACAAAAACAAAGTTTCTAAAGAAGCAGAAATACACAGTGCAGGTTGACTGGTTAAGTGGCAGCTGAGTAGAAACAGATCTAAGTGTTATGTGACTTGTGGCCAGTATGTGACCCCCTCTTCGATGAAAAAACGTAAGTAAAGCTCTTTAGCCCTGTCCACAGAACCTGAAATTGTAATAGCAGGTTCGCAAAGTGTGGCTAGTTCTAGAAATTCAGCTCTTTCTCTCTTGCCCTGGCTGTCAGTGTACTTGCAAGATCCTTGGCTGTGTCTGTATCCAGCTTTGCTTTCCCATGAACGTGGAAGAGATGTCTATTAGCTGTACCTTCAGGTCTACTTTAAAGTGGCCAGGTATGATCTTTTTCATTATTTGCTCAAGTCAGAAGCAGACAACAAGCTCTGTTCTTATCACACACAGCCCTGTTCGCTGATTCAGTGTGCATTACATCTTTTGATCTTATTCTGCTGCAGTTGCTTTCCTTGGCATTTACTTATCGATTAATTTAATAAATTACTGTAATTTAAGACTTGAAAGGAGAGTTAAATTGTCTGGTCTGTCTAGTCTGACTTCTAGTATGTCACACCTTGTTGTCTACCTTATTTCTAAATTTGCCTGTGTCTCACAGCAGCCTCCAGCCTTTGGTTGTTCTTGTGCTTTTATTCCCTAGAATAAACATGCCCGTTAGGACTTGTTATTTTCTCCTCATGAAGAAGTTGCTGCTCAGCCTTTTTCATAGGCTTAAGGAGATTAAACTCTAAATCTTGGTAGCTCTCCTCTGCAAGCTCTCCATTTTTTCAGCAGTCTCTTTAAAATGTGTACACCAGACCTTGGCATGCAGTGTGTCAGTACTCTCTTAGTCAATGGCATGTATAAAATTGCTTCTTTTTGCTGGAGCATGAAACTGGGGGATGGCTTATGTTCTGTTTTGTTCACAATGCCTCTAACTTCATAACTGCTGTTTTCCAGGGAATGGTTCTTCTGTCTGTATTACTCACACTTAAATATGTATGACTGTGTTAAAACACATGTTGTCTGACCACAAAGACATTATTTGCAAAGGAACCCAAGTTGTTCTCTGTGACTGCTCTGTCCCTGTTCTTATCTCCTCTTTCCTGTGCCTTATTTTTTTGCTGTTTCTCCTGGCATTCAAAGTTCTCACCAGTGTTCTTGGCTACAGTTTTTTTCATTTACATATTTTTCTGGTGCATAGCCAAATTGACTTTGCAACAGGCAGCTATGTCTTCCCGTCTATAGAATGTCTTCAGTACTAATGAGTCTTTCGTTGGCCTGACTCAGAATGTTACCTGAAACAATGTGCAGTTATCTTCCACCTAATTACAATTTAAATGGAACAGATTTTAATTATCATTGATCCTTAATTACACTAATCTACAGAAAATATGAGTCAGTGATGGAGTGTATTAAGTCAGTTACACTCCCTATCTTTATATAGATTCTTCCAGGGTGTTGATTTCTCTTTCATTTTAAACTATAACAATGAAACTGAGATGTAGATTCTGAAGGAGGGTGATTATTTTTTTTCTATTATTATTATTTGCTCAACTTAAAGGGGTAGGCAAAACCATATGCAGCTACAATGCAGGTCTGGTTTTATTAAATCCTGAAAAATTCAGGAACAGCTTGGGTAATTGGGCAAGTTTGAGTAAGCTGTTCTGGTTTTCCTCCATTCCTAGTTATCAGTTTGTTTCATTTGTAATGTATTAAGGAGTCCCATTTTTCAAGCACTTCACTAGCTTGTTTTTTTCTGATATTCCTACCATGTATTTTAACAGAGCAAAACATATTACAAAATAGTTCTAAATCTCTCTGCTCGAAGTAGCTGAAAAAATAATGAGTTCAATATCTCTAAATATTTAAAGAGAACACTATAGAGAAGCTAAAAAGGAATGTGACCTGAAGGTTAGTATTTTTCCAGCCTATACATTAAACAGATAATATCCTTCCAGATATCTATTTGTTCTTCTCTCTTGCCTTCCAGCACCCACTTTTTCTTAAATATAAGATCTTCACACTTTTTTTTTTTTGATGGTACTTCACTTGTTTAGATAGGAATTTGTCAGTACTGGAAAGAACAGGAGATCTTAATCTCCACTGTATTCATCTTGTGCTTAATGAGTTTTCACATGTAACCCTATATGCTCTGATTATGACACTTTAATGCAAGTTTTACAGAGCAGTTAGGTCTGTTAAAAAGTCATTCTTTCAGGATATAGTTGGATTCAGGCCAAGGACTTAGCCCCAGTCTTGGTGGTAAGCTGGAGTCCTACCTCTAAGCATATTCTCCGGTGGTGTTTGCTGTTCCGCAATGGTTAGGATAGAGCTGCTGGGTCATTTTATTGTGTAGGGTGATCTACACAGCCACTGCAGCCCTCTTCCCATTCTGAAAAGGATTTTCATTGCAAGTTTTCTGTCTTGGAACAGATGATCTGTCTTGTTCTAGGTGACTGGTATGAACAGCTTTACCCCCTGGTGATTACACTGAAGGACTGCATGGGAGAAGTGGTGACCAGGGCGAAGCAATCAATGGCATTTGTTCTGCTCCAGGAACTTGCCTGTGGTTTGCCACAATGTTTGATGCTGACGCTAAGAAGAGACATCGTCTTTAGTCAAGCAGTAGGTTGTCTTGTGTCACTTATGTCCTACTGTTGCTATAATTAAGCATACTATTCATGCCAATGTTTGTGGTTTTCTTTTTTGTTGGGTTTTTTTCAATTTAGCACAATATTTTCATGTATTTTCCATTACATCCCCTTAAATATTTTATAATGTGATAGAGAAATTAAGAGTAAATGGAAACCCATAGTAACTGTATCACTGAGTCAGAGAAGTACATCTGCAATGGACTGGAAAAGGTTACCTCATCTCCCTTTTGCACAAAGAAGGATCCATAAAGCTATTTTTAGTCTTCCTAGATTATATGCCAGTATCCTCACCTGTAGGTGAAGTTCCCAAGTCTATCCTTTGAATATTCCTTGCTGCTATTCAAGCTAGGTGTTTTTTTTCTCCTGGTCACCTTGGAAATGAAGAACAGATTATTTGGTTTCAGTTTGTAGCAGATTTTACGTGTTTGAAGACTATTAGCATGTCTCTTCTCAGACTTGTCTTCTCTTGGTATATAACTGAAGTGCTTTTGATCTTCTCCTGTAGGTCATGTTTTCCAGATAGATTTTTCTCAAAATTATTAGTCTAATTTCTCCCTTAAGTTATATGTCTTTCCTAACATAATTAAGGAGTTAGGGTGCAACTGCTGAGGAGATTCAGTTGCATTAGGAGCCTAACTGCTTTCAAATCCATCATAATTCATAGCCTTATGTGTTTATAGCCCACCAATGGAGGTTCTGGTCTCACTTATGACTGTGTAAATAACACACAACACCACAAAACAAATGAAGCTTGTCTAATGTAAAATAAGGGAATGTTTCACTGCTTTTTACACCAAAAAATGCCTCAGTAATATATCAATATGAAATTATGTATGTAGTCACTAAACAGAAATATCTATGCTGTTTTCTCAAATATCTAAATATTACTTCTGGTTTAGCCTCATTTTAACTATGTTATAACAGTACATCTGTTAATTTCACATTTTTTCATTGTCTTTATAGCTTGCTGGATTGGTTTGTGGGTTCGTAATCAAATTGCACACAGGTTTACGTGATCAAGGATTTTTACAACAGCTTCATAGCGTTGGATTGCTTGTGCAATATGAAGGACTCCTTAGTACGTATAGTAAGTATTATTCTTGGACAAAGGTCCTTATGCATCCAGACCAGAAATTTACACAGGAGGCTCTTATTTTAACCTCTGTTCTGCTTCCAGTAATTTGGCTTATTGAATCAACAAATATTACCCTTGGGAGACAGTAGGCTTCCATATAATAGCACAGGTGAAGTCATTGATACTGTGTTGTCAATTCTGCATCAAAAATTACTCATTTATTTTGTTCTCAGTTTCTCGCAGAACACTAGTTGCCAGTTATTCCATGCAGAGTGACCTACATTGTCTTAAATACAGGATACTCCTTCCTCAGTACAGCTAGTGGAACTTTTGGTTTTAATAAAATTGTCTCTATTTGTATAGGCATTTGGCCTGACCCAAAATAGCAGGTTTATAAGGCTAACCCAAACAGCAGATTTAAACAGTTACTGACTCTTACCAGCCTCTGCCCTGACCACGCCACTATTGGTGATGTGAAGATAGCCTGAAAACTGTTTAATTCCTAGCTTGTTACAGATGCCATCATTTGATAGGTATTACAAAGGACATTTGGACGGAGAAACTGCTGTACGTTTCAAAATGCTATGAACTAGATGTATTGAAATCCTTTTCCCAAATTAGAGATTTTGACCAAAGTAGAGGGATTTAGCATTTTTGCAGCTCTTTAATGCACAGGCAATTGCAGATACTCACTTGGAGATTGCTCTCAGGCTCCCTTTTGCAAGGTACTCGTTGTTATTCTCAAAACCTTTGTCCCCCATCAGCAGGACAGTCTTTAAAAACACTCTCAGAATAGACAAAAATGGCTTTTCTAAGGTTATTCTATGCACATAGAGAGCAGGATGATTTTCAGAGGTGCTTAATACTCATAGTTATCATTTAGGCCACAGAGAATTGTCAGCAGTTCTAAAAATCAGTCTGGTTTTATGTAGGTTACTTTAATGTGGATTTAAGGCTGTGATTTTTAGATGCACAGACTGGAAAATATAATCCCCGTATTGCTTTACTCTAACCTATTCAGTGACTGGTCTGTCTACTCTGTTAATAACTTCTGTAATCTTTCCATATAGGTGAAGAAGCAGGGATGCTAGAGGACATGGCTGTGGGAATTTCAGATTTGCAGAAAGTAATGTTCAAAGTCATTGAAGCCAAATCAGAAGATTTTTTGCCGATTATAACTGGAAGGCGGTAAGAACTTTGTTTCCTGGAGCCCATGGCATGTAGTTTTAATCTGTAGCACATGAAAACCCAGATAATGGTTTTCTTGTTGATGAATTCTATTATGTGGAAAGTGCAGTAGTTTTCATTTTCATGAGGTGAATGTAGATGTAATGACATAGTAGGGATTTGTAAAGCTAGTACCAATATGGGCTCTGGGCTACTTTCCTGATGAAAAGCTGAAAGTTCCAATTATTAATACAAATTAATCAAAACAGTGTCTGGGTTTGCAGAGCTTCTGTTGCATTTTTTGTGTATAGATACTGAATCTAAAGAGAAGTGACAAGGTCAATATTCTAACTGAAGAAACTTTGGGTTTGAGTTGTCCAGAACTTGTATTTCAGTGTGACAAATGAAATTGCATTTCTAAGAGTTAAGCCTTGATTGTCTTAAGATGGAAACTGAAAAACTCAGATGCCAAAACTTAGTGTCACTTTTGAAAAATGAAGCCTATCTTAGTTGCTGAAGATCACACAGGACATACCCAACCCTGGAAATCCTTGCATAAAGCCACTAAGACATTATGCATCTCACATAAGCACTGCTGAATATCAGGACATAAGCTGAAATACTTCGTTAATTGTGGCTATAAGAGGGTTAACAAGATTGTTGTACAGGAGGAATGGGGTTTTCATCATCATTATTATTCTAGTCTGAAGCTCCAAATGTTTTTACTTTTGCAGAAATCACTTCCTTAATAGTATCATTATCCTTAAGATGACTGTAAATTAAATTCAGTGAAAAGCAGCAACTTTTAGAAAAGATATGTTTCCTCTGAAGGGGGCTTTCACCACTGATTTACTTAATTATTCTGGATGATTCACTCTCATCCTATGGGCCTTCCGAGAAAGGATTGAAATAAATAGCAGGAAGGCCAGAGTATGATAGGCAACACATCAGGAATAATTAAGAATAATTATGGTATGTAGATAAAACAGAAGAAATACATCCTTTGAAAATCACAGCAGGCAAAAATCTTGAAAAATCCAGCAGCTACATTTACTGGCTTGCTGCCATTACTGCGGTACACTGAACTGTCACGCTAGGAGGTCCTCAGTTTGAAAGAGACTCGAGCTTTAAGCTGCCTCAGGCATTCTGGATTGATGGAGTAGTCAGTCTTTAGAAAGAAGAGTTACTGCCTGTGATCGCTGTACTGTACGTACTGGCAGGTAGTCACTGGATGGAATCGCTATCAGACAAAAAAAAAAGAAAAAATCTTTAAGGCTTATGTGGAGGAGCCCCATGCCTGTTAGAGCTGTGATGAGACATCTCCTATCAGACGGCATTGGAAGTCAACCATAAAAAGAAAAGACAGTAGAAAACCTAGTTATTTCCTAATTAATGTTTAAAACCCCCACAATTTTTAGATCATTTTGGTTGTAATATGGTGTGGCTTGATAAAATGAGACTAAAAGACTGTAGAAGTGCAAGACAGAAAATTAAGCTACAAATTCTTGTCTTGCAGAGCCAGAGTATTCACTCGTAATTGTTTTTCTAGGGAAGTGCTTAAGACCGAGATTCTATGTAGACAAACAAATCCTTCCAAAGAGCGTGGCATTGACTAGCAGTGTGCTAACCTGCTGAGGTGGGTGGCTGACTCCGACCATCCAGGTGAAGTGAAGTTCTGTTCAGGCACTCAGGTTCTTTTATTATAGGCAAAAGTAGTTAACGTTTCCTTTTATAAAATTCTTTGATAGAATGTATTTGATTGTGCACATGAACTTTGAGGCATCACAGGGTTTGATGTCATGTTTTCAACGTAGCCCGCGATTGGATTAGCACTTAGAGCCACACTGAAGCGATCTAAAAAGTTGTCACTTAGCTGAAGGAAGATCTCGGTAAAGTATCTCCCAGCTGAGGTGCAGTGACTGACCACGTGTGTGTTTTCTTTTCTGTTGCAAAGCAAAGCAAAGGTGCATGTAAATGACTTGTTTTGTGTTTACTGCAATGAACTAAGCGTGTGCGATTTCAACCAACTGCAAGTAGCTGCAGGGTCTGTGGCCCGCAGCTGCATGCGGGTAATTTTCAGAAGCCTTCTAACAGGACTGCAAGTGTTTGTCTATCTTCATGTGTGATGATAACAAATATTAGAGAATAAGGCAAATAAAGTCAAAGAAAAGGGTAATCTTAAGCAGTCCTGTTTAAATGAAATCATACACATTTAAATACTTAATACCTAAATCTACACAATTCGTTCTGAAAGAGATGGTGATTTATTATTTACTCTCTGAAACATGCTGGATTTCTCCACCCTGTTTCCCTGAGAGATTGTCAAATGTTTAAAATTATGTACTGAATTTTCCTTCTCGCTGGAAAATGTGGTAGCCACCTTATCCATCTCATGCCAAAATCACCTGGTGTCTCTGCACTGAGTGTAGCCATAAAAGAGAGAAACCACATGGTGATAAAATGCACTGCTGTATTACTGTTTCTTGTTTAAGTACAAGCATAGGACCTGTAAGATTTTTGGAAAATTAATGTCAAAAAAGTCCTCCATATTCAGTACTTGGAATTCTTTTTCTGTCTGCCCCACCTGACCAGTACCATTCCTGGACTTTCCAGACAGCTCTCTGTCACAGCTTGGTAGCCTTCTCCTTACATGATAGGAAGCGGGTTACTTTCATTGTGCAATCGCTTACAGATTTTTAAAAGTTATCAAGGATTATCTCTGAGACTTCAAAAAATGTTTTGAAAAAGAAAAAAAAAATGGACAATGGGAAGTTCTCAAATGGTACTGATGTTAATTTGTCATGCCTAAAGGTCAGCATTTCTCAGTGTCCTTTCACACACTAAAGGATCTGTAGTGATTTTGGGGGTGTGAAATGTAGCAATGCAGTGATTTGGTGGCATTTTGGTTCAGTAGCGTATGCTCTTTGAATTAGACTAAACCAACATTTCTTCTCAACCTCATGAAAGCACTTCATCACAGAAAAATATTCTGGTAGCACTTGATAGCAGCTAGGAGTGCTCACATGCAGGCTGAGAATGAATGCTGCTATGCAAAGATTGTTTGTACGGAGTTCTTTACTGTCATCCTTGCTAACTCTCCATTTCCTTCACATGGGTTACTTCACTAAATAAAACACAAACCAAAAAGACTTTTTTAGGAAAAAAAACTTTTTCCCCCCCCCCCCCCCCTTTTTTTCCCCCCCTCTGAGACATGTATCCTCCATTCAAAACTGATAAACCCCCTCAGTAGGGAGCATCTGGCATTTGCTCAAAGATCACACACTAGTTCTAGCCTGTACCAAAGCATACGCTGTTGTCCTAGCTGCACGTAGTTACATTTCAGTCACAAGTCTGCACTGGATCCATTTTATTTTGTTCTCAGATATGTGGGCAGGATAGAGGTTCAGACACCACCACTGGCTCTTCTAAGCTGAAGCTGTTTATCCAAATGCCTGCTCTGAGCTGGTGCCACTCATCCCTCCAGCTTGCCAAGGGTGTCAGAGCTACTGCAGAAACTACCCTTTTTCTTCAAGGTTTTCTGCCTTTTCTCCCCCAAATTCTACACATGGGTAATCCAGACTGTATTTCAATTCTTTAGCAAGCACATGATTGATTAAAATAAGGGTTGGAGGGACTTCAGGATAGATTATTTTAAAAGGCCTTTAATCCTTATTAAAGGATTATTTTTAAAGGTTTTACGTTTCCCATCTTAAGTTTACATGCAAAAGTTGTGTGACTTCCTAGGCCTGGTTTCTGTAGGTAGGGTATAGATCCTCCTTCCCTCCTGTTGCTGTAATACTCTTCCTTCTTGGTGGGATACCAAATGTGCAGGAGAGAAAATTTCAGTCTTCATTATCTGTTGGCCCTCTTTGAATGACTAAAATGCCAAATCCTGGAGATAAATGGATTTGCTTCTAGTCTGTTCTTTTATTAGACTGATTGCTCTAATAATGGAAAGAAAGCTGATGAGAACTAAGTTAACAGCATGCCGTTTTTTCTGTTGTGGGGTCAGGCATCAACCCTCAAAGACAGGTGAAATTCAACTTGAGGGTGTCACATGATCAGAATTTGGACTGGCAGCAAAAGTAACATGCTTTTTCATAAAGTCAGACCGAACACAAACATAAAACCAGAACTGTTATATGTCATATCTCTTCTCCTAAAATAGGATTCATGTTTGCGTAATGAGCCTTCAATTATTATCTTCACAGAGGCAATTTTGTTATTGGTGATGCTTTCTATTCCCAGGGAGAAAATCCAGCCACTGAAGAAAATGGGAATTTTGCTTTGGGTTTTTGGTGAAAGGTTTTTGCTCATATTACATTTAGAGTGGATACAGGATCAAGTTGTGACTTCTGAAAGGAAGTTATTTTTGTAACTCAGCAAGATGCATTTTAAGAGTTGAGGTGTTCTCAATGATATTTTGGTAGCAGAAGACTTTTTACTGCTTTCATCTTTAGTCCTATTTTCACTTCAGTAAAAAAGCCAGTACCAAGAGTGTGTAATTATATATACCTGCCTTTTTCCATGTAGCTTGGTTACGTTCTTAAAACAAGCAAGCTGAATCGTCATATTTTTTTGTTCAATACAATTAAGGGGAAAAGGGGGGAACTGATTTATAAGTCTACATGTTCTCTATAATTTAGGAAGGTTATAATTTCAAGCAAACCAATCAATATTCCTATCCTTATTCTTCTTTTTATTTTTCCTAGTGAACATTACATTATAGAGGTCCAGCTTCCGGCAAAGATGTTTGAGTTGCTGCCACAAGAGATTAAAGAAGGAAAGCTACTTCGCATGTATCCAGTACTCTTTAATGTTGGAATCAATGAACAGCAAACACTTGCAGAGAGGTAAGAAAAAATTGTGTTTCATTTTCTGACCAACTATGCCGTGCTCATGCAGGATATCTCTCAGGACTAAAATCTTTTTTGTTATTTGCTCTTGGACCACCTCACATTTGACTCAGTGTGTATTCTAAAAAGTATTAAAGGAAATAAGCACAAGCTATGAAGCAATGCAAAATAATGAAAAAGTCCAAGTGAAGATATGACCATATGCAGGACTATTTCACACAGTCAACACCAAATTTCCTTTGGATACAGATATAAAACGGATTTCTATTTCACAGATGTAGAAGTTTGTTCATACACAGTACTTCGGCCTTCTCAAACATAAGTTTGAAAATTTGAAATTCTTATTATCTTAAAGGTGGGGTTGAAGATGCTGGACAAATCATAAGCTAGAAAGAGATCATTTTTCTCAGCATTTTAGGGCTTTTTTCCAGGGTTGAGGAGTGGTAGTTAATAATAGGGAATGCGTTAGTAATATGTTTGTAGAAACAGGAAGGCTGATGTTAAAGTTCTGATGTGTTAATTTTACTCTTCTGAAAAGATTGCTGGAAACTAATTAATTAGTACAATAATAGTCAAGGTTTCACCAACCTCTTAATTTTCTCTTCCAAGAGAAGGGTATCTGTAAAATACCGAGTTTGTGCAATGCTAAAACTGCAAGGTAGACATCAACACTGAGAGAACTACTTTGTTTTTTTTAAACTGGTTTTATTAACAGAGCATGCAAGAGACATAATACATATCTTTAGATTGCATTCACTACAAACTCAAAACCAAAAGCACAAGTGTGACTGGGGAAATAGAGGGAGACAGTGAAAACCCATTAACCTGTACAGTAGGCGAGAAGTTAAGCACAACAGGAATTTCATGTCCTGTTCTTTGTAGACAGCACAGTAAAAGCAGTCTTTTAAGGAAGACTTCTAAGGAATGCCATCAGGTAGCTTTGTGGATGTTTATGGGAGACTTCTCTGAGTTATGAGTGGTGATGTGTGAGAAAATTTAGGTAGAAAATTGAAGTGGGAGACATAGGCTGAATCAGAAGGCAGTAAAGACTGACATTTTACTGATGAAAGACTTGAGTAGTTGGTAAGAGAACTTGAAACAGTATTGAAAATGAAAATAGCTTATTCTTGATGCCATAAAGAAGGGAAAAGTGATGCTATGAGAGGAGTGACATGGCCAAAGTGATAACACACAAACCCAACAAAATCAGTCATGACACTTGTGACTAGGACACATCATGTTTTTCCAAAATCAGAGAAAAGGAGAATGTAGTAACCAAGAAGCAAGTTTGTGAGAGCTTAAGTGGGTGGGACAGGCAGGAAGGACTGTATGTTACAAATGTCCTGAAGAAAGATTTGACAAGATTTAGAAACAGCCTGGATATATATGGGGACTTGATAGATATCTCTCTATATATCTTAATATCTATATCTATCAAGCAAATCAAGTTGGATTATTCCATGCAGAAACAGCTTTTCTGCATGCACTTATAGGCGTAAACATTAGACATAATTCAAATTATTGCTTAACTCCTAAAGCTGCACATTTGTCTTTGAGACTGGAAACACTGCACATGTTTTTTGGTAAAAAATATTTCTTTTGTGGGGAAATGAACATAAGAATAGAAGTAAAGTTTTGTGATAAATTTCTAGAAAATGTTACTTTGTTAGATGCAAACATCTCTTCTTTCACTGAAGCCCAGTTGAGAATATATCTGATTTAAAAGAAATATTGCCATGTGACAGTGCAGCAATGGCTACTGAGGAAGTAGCCAAGTCTTCTTGCTCTTTGGCTTTTTTAACTATTTGATTCCCTTCTGCATGATGTAGCAGTACATTTGGTATCATCTGATTTATGTCCCCTTTTCTTTACCTGAATTTCTCACTCACCTGTCCATGCTTCTCTTTCTGTACTCCTCCTTTCCTTTTTCTGTCTGCCTTTTCTTCATTTCAAGGCTATTCTAAAGATGAGTTGCAAAAACTTGGCCCTAGCTGCCTAAGGGACATTCCCATCTTTAAGTTCATATGTCATAACAGAGGTACCCGGTGGTTTTTTGGGGGGGGAGGGTTGTTTTGGGTTTTTTAGCCTGTGTGAAACTTGCCTGCTGTAGAAATTTTGGTCTCAGAGAGAAAGATATTTGCCTATATAGCTATAGTCAGTTTGTGGATAAGTGTAATGGCATCCTGATGTTGTCTGGGTTCTCTGTGAGGTGCAGGATAATGAGGATTTGGGTGATGTGTTCCCAGTAGACTTGACTGCTGCAAGAAACCCCAGCACGTGCTCGTGAGCTGGCTGCAGCACTGTAGAGCGACTGCTGAGGTCTGTGTGCTGCAGCAAGCTTAGAGGCAGATGACTGAAGCCAGCTAGCCTGTGGGTCATAACTCTGTGAAGCTTAATGGTGAAATCACTGCTCAACAGCAGAGAAATGGCGTTCTCATTAGCTTCAGGTACAAGAAACCAAGATAACTAACAGCTCAGGAGCAGCGTAGGGCAGAAAGGGCCCAGAGAAGTAATCAATTTGACTATTTATAGCAACTATTCTCAGATCAGAGCAGAAATTAGTTCTTCAGAAGGTTTTCCACCTGACACTTGCATCTTTTCCATCTTGTGTGCCTTCAATATTGTCCAGCTCTGGTAGAAATTAATATAGCTAAGCAACAGCAGCAGTAAGAGATGTAGGAGTCGGTGTTCTCTGCCTGTGGTGCCGTTTGAAATTCCCACAAAGAGCGCTTGCATTTATTCAGGATTCGTGAAGGCAAAAAGAATATGTGCTTTATTGAATGTTTGTCTGTAAATGGATTGCTTTGTCCGTAAGTTTTTAGAAGAATTATCCATGAGTGATGAACTCATTCCCAAATATTAGTTCCAAAGCACATGAGAGATTAGCAACTGTACATTTGACAAAATCTAGTACATTCAACACTAGAAATCATTCTGAAGGATAAATTAGCTTTGGGCATTTTTTTCATCATTTTATTGTGCTTTTTTATAGGTTTGGAGATACCACTTTGCAGGAAAACATTAACCAGGAAAACTTAGAACTCCTAAAAGAATATTACAAGCTATTTACAGAAAAAATGCCGCCTGATTGTGAGTACAAAATAATGCAATATCCAAATGGCTTTGAAAAGGTTTGATAGGTGAAAGATTATAAGAAAGTAATATTAGCACAATATTAGAGTACAGCTTTTAGATTTAGGCCTCAATCCCACAACTTGTTCCGTAAAGTTAAACACTTTGTGCCTGTACGCAGCCCTGCTGAAGTCAGTAGTGACTGCAGGCCCAACACCACAGCAGAAACTACAGGGAGAGTGAAACAGAGCACTGAAGAACTGAAGAGCTCTTTTAAATTATTAGTATAATATGCTTTTTAATATTTTAAGTAGAGTACAATCTGTACCTACTACATTTGTGCAGAAATACTTGGTGGGAATTTTCATCAGTTACAGCCATTCCCTCCATTCTTATTTTGAAAATGTATTAAGGTATGGCAAACCACTGAGAAATCTGCAGTGCAAATACACGCCATGAGCCACATCCTAATGTCATTGATACGAATAACATGGTTCCATTAGAATAGGCCCTATATTCCAATTTTATAGAAATTTGGTATCATAAACATTACTGTTCTGTTACTCTGACTGTTGAAAGCAAACACTGAAGAGACCATTTGTATCAATCTAATCCTGTTAAAGTAGTCTTAAGGCCTAAACTGTATTCCCAAATGTTGCAGATTTTACAGACTGATTTTCAGTAGCTTGGATTTAGGTCTCTGCTCCTTCCCCTTGGGTAAGGGTGGGTATGTGTGTGAATCTTTTGAATCTAAAGTTCTGTCACCCTTGAGGACACGTGTGACTCCCCATGGTGAATACTGCTGGTTAAAATCTCTTGCAAAGCTTCTGTTCTCTTACAGAATACCCTGTATTGGTTACTTTCGCAAATTATCCATTACATGTATGTACTTGTAGTTATACCTAATGTGTCACTGTATATGTGTACATGTTTATCTTTTATATTGGGATGATTTTCATTAGTTGATAATTTTGACAGAAGTGAAAGCTCTGTTCCTAAACGGTGGGCAGTATGCCCATCCATCCACTCGCATCTCTAGGATTTCTGCTGAGAAACTCATACAAAAAGTTACTAATTACTTTAGGGGGATCCTGCCAAGAAAGCATCCTGAAAAACTAACCTCATCTGGGGTTAGGTCTAACGTAGATCTGCTACCTCATAAATGGATCTGATTATATAAAAGCAAAAATTTGCATGCAGATCGTATTGGCTGCTTTTCATTAACAGAAACTAACCTTGTACTGTCTTCCTGCAGAAGGATTATTAGTGAGCTGCACAGTCTTCCTGGACTTCTTCCAGACTGTGCAGGCTTTTGAGAACTACTGTTGTCTAATTCATCATGTCTTTTCTGGTTATTATTACCTTCTTGCTTTTTTTCTACCTCTAAGATCCGAGTCTGTTCTTTGTCCAAATTTTTACAGAGCACAAAGCACCTTCTGGTTCCATTGCCCTTCCCAGTCGCTCCCAGTCACCTTCTGCCATTACACGGAATCACTCTTTTGGCTTGGAGGAACGTGTCTTTTAAACCAGCTCCCTGGAAAAAAAAGTTAAGCTCTCCAAGTTGTTCAGCTGGGGGAGGACTTCAGTTCCTCCCCGGTTCCCCCAGCTCTGTGCTTGAGTTCTCAGGAAGATAAATCTCCATCCAAGCTGGCAGCATCCCTGGCGTTGTAGCCAAGTGAGAGCCGTTCAGTACTGATGGCTCCTTGATGGTTTTGTCACACCTTTCCAGATAGTTTCCTGTAGTGCCAAATCTGTGCTACAAAATAAATGCAGGACTCTGTTCACAAAGCTGTTAGTTACAAATACTGCTCATAAAGCCAGACACAATTTGAGGACTCACAGCCCTGTTGGCCGGGCTGTTGCATCCACCATCCTTAGGCAGCCTCACCTGCCTGCTGCTTCATTCGTATATTCCATTTCAAAGAATTCAATTTTCCACTCCCATAAATGTATTGCCACCTTTGCTATTAGTTTTTCTCTCATCTCTATAATTCCCATTGCCAATAATATTCTAGCTTTCTCTCTATTCCCTATTATTGAAAGTCTTCAGCTACATGTAACTGCATATGCCAAACACTGACTTACTATCTTCTTTTAGATGAATATGCACTCTGTCACTCACCTGTTTCTTAGTCTGTTTAATTGTCTAACTGGAAACTCTGAAAACAATAAACAACAATGTGCTCCCAGAAAGATTCCTATGAAAAATGCCAACCGAATGTAGTTCTGGTTTATGCACCAAAATAGTACTGCTTTTATAGAATAGTTAATGATGTTAAGGGTACAAAAATGTATGATTGTTGTTTAGTAGTACATAATTAATTGAAAAGAATGGCTTAGAACTCGGTTTAAACAGCTGAAAGCATAAAATCAGAGAAACCTATGTCGCGAGTGATATTTGGTGTTGCTGGTTTGATACCTAACAGCCACAGCAACATCAGTACTGTCCCACATGAGAAGAGGGATGCATGCAAGGTTTAGAAATCCTGCAAGCAAATGAAGATTTTTCTTCCGTAGTATCATAAGGCATGTAGCAGTACATGCATTTTCAACATAAAGTCTAGGAGTCTGTTTTGTACTTCCAGGCTTCTCCCCCTTATAATGCATGAGAATTATTTGATGGCTTAGTACTGCTTTGTGACCCAAGGAATTTAGGCAATCGATCCCATCCAGTCAAGATGCAGCTCATTTGGCAATACTATAAATTAGGAGAATCTTGCTTTACCTATGGTGAAGTCATCTCTGAGATGATGCATTTTCTGCTGTGAACCAAATGAAAACTGCTTTGGAGCAATAAAATGTTTACCTAGTGATACATTCTCATAATCTGGAAGCATCTTTTTAGAGTACTCATTGTATGCTATATATTTTAAAGAAACAGATGTAGGATAAGTATAATAGTCTAGCAGGTTGTGATGTATTTTTATATGCTCTGCATTATCTAATTGTATGATCAGGAATTGTAATACACAGATAAAACAGTCCTCATTAAGACGATTACAAAACTAGATTGAATGTACTTTTTCTGCATATTTTTCTTTTTGGCAGCACAGTATGAGGTAAGGCAACTTAGACATTTTTAGAATGGTTCTTTCTGAGTATATTTAAATTACTTCTTACTATGAATCATGGATAAGGGAAACTACAGAATTCACTAGGGAGGAAAGGTAAAAGCCTGTTGACAAGAGGGATCATTCCAGCTGTGATCAGGTTAGGAGAATGGATTTTGACCTGCATTAGTAGTTGCCTCATTTTTACTCTTTGAATTGAATATAAATCTTAGGGTTTTGGGTTGGGTTGTTGGGGTTTTTTTCCCTCTGGATGGCACATCCTACTTTTTCTTGTTGAAAAAATGTATCTATTTATCAATTTTGTTTAATTTTGTTTCAACTGGTTCTGAGCCTTTCTTTGGTGATAACGATTATTAAATTTTTTTTACTTCATTACCATAAGAAGAAATAATTTCAAAAAACAGATTTTGGTGTTTCTACTGGTTTTCAAAACTAAAGAAGATAAAGGTAATGTTAGAACAAAACCCTCCTGTATATACACAAAAAACAGAAGAGCAAATTAAGTTGCCTACTCTTGAATTCCCGCTAGACATCTATGATTAATAAAACTTCAGCTCAGCTGCCATAGCCAGGGCAAGTAGGTAAAATTTCAGACTTTAAGTAAACCTGAAATTATTTAGTATTTCAAAATTAAAGTCCCATTTAATTTCAAACTGAGAAATATCCTTTGTTGAATTTTTTGGGGGGGGGGGGGGCAGCACGGATGTATTTAGTGCTATTTAACACTCATGTTATATTAGGAACTGAAGTATCATTTTAAAAGAAAAATGAAATGTTCCATTTTTAAAACAAAAGCAAAATATTTTGACTTAAAAAATAAAAGGATCATCCCATCAAAGCAGGTTTTAATACACGCAGTTATTTCTCTACTTATTTCCATTGAATGTCTATAATAGTGGATGAACAGAACTACAGCAGAGATTTGAATGTTTTCACCATCCATTTATAAGATAAAAGTTGAAGACACTTTAATTTTTCATGGTGAAGATCTTAGGGAGGACAACCCAATACTTTGAAAGAAATAAGGTTTGCTTTTTCCCTAAATATTTAGCTGGTACTTTCCCTCCTGTGTTCCCAAATAAGGCTGTAAATAATAGACCTGTTCTTTACTATGGGCGTTCTTTAGTGACCACAATGATATCATCAACCTTATCAAAATGAACAAACTTATCATCCTTTTTTTCCAGGTCTACCACATTTTCAAGAACAAAATGATTTAAAGGGATTGCTAGAAAATCTCCATCAAAATATCCAGGCCAAAAAGAGAAAGAATGTAGAAATCATGTGGCTGGCTGCAACGGTAAGCTTTCTTTTTTCATGTATGTTCACGTGATGAAGTAATTTTTACATGCCTGCTGATATTGTAAGTGCAATGGATTTTAAGGATATGATTGGAAAACTCGGTGATTAAAGTAGATAGATATGCTGAAATGGCTCTCTAACATTTCCATTCTGATGGTCTCTCATCCCAGTCATGAATATATCTCTTCTTCCTACACTTAAATTACGGATATTTTCTTTTTCTGATTTTCTTTACTGGAAGAACTGGCTAGAATTCAAAGTGAGAGATGGTCTTGGACACTATGTTGTCCCCTACATCCTCCAGGCCCTTTTCTGCAGAGCTTCTCCTAACCAGGCAGTCCGTGGACTGTGCTTGGGGTTCTTTTGTCCCAGATGCAGGATTTTTCATTTATCTCAGTGAGTTCTCTAACAGGGTAAAGAGGTTTGCTTTTTGTTTGGGGCTTGTTTTTTCTTTAACTAACTGAGCCTGTTTTTAGGCAGAGGAATCCCTTCATCCCCAGTATGGGCAGAATTAATTCTTTGAATGATCATGCATAGCTGTAAATATATCACCTCATACGAGAGTGACAATACAGTATTCAGCTACAGTATCTACCTTTTTTTGTTGTTTAAAATCATATCAGTTGTTTGATAACATAAAATTGGGGTGTTCAAAATATCTTGCTTTTATTGTTTAGTGTCTATAAGCCTTGAGGTATGATGCAGGACATGATTACTTGCTCTGGTTTTTGTTTAATATTGCTGCAGTCAACTTTTGATTTTCTGTAATTAAGGTACTTATGTTTTATAAATAAGCGTTTATCAGTACAACTTTTAGTCAATCACATTTTATGGGTTTTTTAGCCAGTGTCACCATGACAGCCACTACTAACAACACAAAATAAGCTAGATATGATAAGGGCAGATGTTCAGACACAGGGAGAGCACAAAGAAAAATGTTTATCAAACAATGAATAATATTTGCTTTGCTTTATTCACATAATTCCTTTTTGTTTCCCAATTCTATGGGTTTTGCATGTACATGTTAAAAAAACAACAACAACAAAAAACAACCTTTAGATGTTTATAAAGAGATCAAGCTTTTCAGGAATGTCAAATTTAACCAGGTAATTGTCTTAGATTTAGAAAAGTACCCTTGGTGTCTCTGTCCATTTATACGAGCAGAGACTTGAGTCTTTGGTATCTACTGAAATTGAAGGCAAGGCCTTGTGTTTGGGGAACTTTCAAATACCTATACCCTTCAAGGCAAATAAGTATTTGATACAAAATATTAATAAAATTTTCCACGACTTTTCATTAACACCAAGAACAAGACAATATTAACTATGTCTTTCTATTAATAACTGCTGTGATTTTTTTATATTGCTAATAATGATTTGTCTTGTCATTAATAAATATTATCACATGCTATTGCAGTATAAATCTGCTGTGAGTAAAAATATAAGCTTTTCTTGCAGTACCAGTTCTGCAATTACTATGAAACATTGCTTTCTAAAGAAGTAAAAGATAAATCAGTACAGGATAGTGTAAAATGAGCTACAAAGAATATGACAGAATTTACTTAATCTTTGGATATAGAAAGTTTTCTTCTACCATCTATTGAGGACTCCCCGAAAATAATTTCATGGGTAAAAAGCAGTCTTTGGACATACAAACTGTTTCAGATTTTTCCTTCATTGTATTCTATTTCTCTTCACGTTACGTTACTGCAGCCTTCTGAAATGAGTATTTCTGGACCCATTGATCTACACACTGTTATAGTACGTTACATTTAGCTATTGCAAAGGATGTAAGGATATCGCTTTGTTATTCAGTAGATGTATGAGATTCTACACGGATACACATATGTATCTGCACCTGCATGCAATGCCTGTTGTAAGGGGACTGTGAGAACACATCTGCATTTTAAAAGTCAGCTTTTGCAAATTGGTATCACAAACATTTCTTATTCTAAATATAATGGGACAGAGTTTTAAATGTTACACATTTTCATTTCTTAAGCTGCACCCTTCATCTTCTGTCTTCTATCAGGAGAAATAATCAGAGTATTGATTTATCCTTGTTTTAATCTTCATGGTTTTATATGCTTTTATCATTTGCTCTTTAAACTTAATCACAATCCTAATCATTTAAATCTGTGTTTAAGGGAGACTCTCTAAAGTTCTAATAAATGTTAAGTCTATTTTTCCTCCTCCTATATCTTCAATATGTTTGGGGAAGAAGTGTGCTAAATTGAGGATAAAATTCAGGCTGGCACTAATCATAAGCTGTGTGTTCTTATATAACGATATTACTATATATTTGGTATTGTCCCTTATTAGATTTCTAGAGCATCAGATCATTGTGTTTGCCCATGTTAATTATTTACTTTGTTTAACTGCTGCTGCTCAGTGAACTGAGTCATTCTGAGGATTTATCTGGGCCAGCCTATCAGGTTAACGTACATTTCTCCTTAAATCAGACTCTAAGGAGCTTTTAATTTGTTTATTTAAATTAACAAATTGTTTTCTATTTAATCCACTTTAGAATGATTGAGACATTTGTACTGAACTTCAATGCAAAATAAACTCGTGGTTATGGTCATTTGCTTGTTGTGCCTAGAATGCTTCTCAGTTCAAAATTGACTCTCACTAACCAGCACTTTATATGTATGCTGTCAACACAGATTTGAGATTTAATCTCCCTTCCCTGCATCAGAGGCCATCATTCATCCAGAATAATTACCTGGGTGTTTTTTCTTATGACTCATTCACTTCGAAGTCACAATGACTCATGGACTTCAAAAGAGACTAGTGTAAAGAGAATTAATCTCTTCAATTAAGCAGTTAACTTCTTTCACAGCGTTATTCAAAAAACTTATCTTCTAGTACTTTATTTAAAACCCAATGTAACTTTCCAAATTTTTAAACAGATATAAGTTTTAAAATTTTGAATTATAGGAGGGAAGAAACACTCACAGGTTCCCCTTTACTAGCCTTTGGGTTCAAAGTTAGTTTCAATTAACTTTTGAGATTGCCCTCGCCACGATATAGCAAAGACCTTAAAGAATGCAAGTATTTTCTGGGCCATTGATTTCAACAGAGTTTCTGAGAATGCAATTAACAGATAAAAATATGCTTTTTTGCTGAAGTGAGATTATGAAGATCACATTCCAGTTTCATCCTGCAAGATCCCAAGTAAACACTTGATAGCCAAGCTGGGAAGTTCTTTACGATGAAGCCAAACTGCTGTAATTTATTGCCTTGCCCTATTCTCATAACTATTTCCTTTTTTGATACTGTTATAGCTATGATTGTCCAGGGATAGCAGCAAGCAAAGTCAAGTATTACCTTTTCTTAGGACAAATTATATCAGGGGAAGTCTAGATCTACTCTTGGGCAACCAGCTCTCCTTCAAGTTTTTCTTTTTCTAGTAAAATATTGTTTGAACCCAAAGTATTAACTTAATGCGCTGCTACAACCACAGATTGATTCTTAAGGTGAGAAATTGTCCTTAAAAATATGTCATGTTTCCCTTATCCCTTATAATTTTGTCGTAATGTACAGTGAAAGTAGATAATCCATGGCAGTCATTTGTGTTAAGATTTAATTGTTCTGGGTCACACGTTGAACAGTTTGCCTGTTGAAAATGAGGACTACATTTAAATTCAGATGTGTCAGAATCCATACCCTCATGAGAAGTTAGTCCTCTACATTCATGAGTCTGAGTTAACACTCGTCAAAGTTTTTCTTCATTTTTTCAACATTCACTAGGTGTTCAGACAATTAAGCTTTAATTCAATAGGGTGGTTGTCACAGTGAGGAATAAATGATGCAACTTTTTATAGTCTAGGCTAACACAAATACTTTTGATTTCAAGTTCAGGAAACTGGATGGTTTGGTAAGCTGTAGTACGTGTAGACATTTCAGTGGCTTGCTTAAAATGCTTAGGACTAAGAACAGTAGATTATTTTCTTTTGTTGGGTCCACCATCAGTTTCTTGCTTCCCTTGTGGTGGGGGCATGTTAGGGTGGGCAGGGGGGAGACTTGGTTGCAACTGCAGTACAAGATTGTGTGCAGCGCTCTTAAAATCAGTAAGGGCTCCTTTTTCTTCAGTGGGCAGGTTATTTGTAGGCTTGTCCTGCTAATGAAAGCCCTCAAGATCTGCTTTTAAAATGTGTCACTTGGACAAATGGGAAGTGGGCTATAGATCAGTAGCTATAATCTTTTGGTGCTATTTTTGTAGAGTGTTAATGCTGCAAATTTATACGCAAAAGATAAATTTGCAGTTCTTTTCAGCACAACATTTTCACCTTTTGTGGCACTGTGTCAGGCCAGCATGGGCATAATCCTTAGAAAACGAAAATCCTCAAGGCAGCGCCAATAACTGATTTAACTGGAGAGGCGCACATGAGCAGCCGTATGATTCGGGTTGGAGTCTTACCTTTTAGTAGCTATTTTCTTCTTGAGAAATACTGTAGTTCTCTGTATTCATTGTCTGTGATTGCAAAATTGCGGGAGTTTCACAGTCTGCCTAGTGTGTCCAGAACACAAGGCGTGAAAAGGGCAATCCTTTGACGTCTGCCTGTGTTTCAGATTTGCCGAAAGCTGAATGGAGTCCGTTTCACCTGTTGCAAAAGTGCCAAAGACCGGACATCCATGTCAGTGACGCTGGAGCAGTGCTCCATCCTGAGGGACGAGCATCAGCTTCACAAAGACTTCTTTATTCGGGCGCTGGATTGTATGAGAAGGTATGTGGAGGTTTTTGCATGTCCCTTGCGTTTTGAGCTACGCCAGGAACTCCAGTACAGAACGGTCTAAAGCCGGTTGCAAATGTGCGATAGGCCCCAGTCCTGGTTTAGCAGAGAAGTGACCAGCAGCATGCCAGCTGGTAAGTCACTTTTGCATGCAAAGTCTTTGCAACAGCGTGCTTTATCGCTAATTAACAGTCTCTGAGATAGATAGGTGAAACCTTGTAAGTGCCACTTCACTGACTGTAGAATTTGACCAAGGTAAATAGCAGTTATTTTAACAACATTCTATGACTGTATAGAAAAAAAAGTTATTATCTGTTCTAAGAGTATTTTTTTTAACCATTTACACACTCTTTAAATTATTTGTATGAAATTTAGACAAATAGTGTGAAAGCAGAATAATCATTTGTTACAGATGGCAATTCTTATTAGATCGTGTTATTAAAAAGAAAAGAAACACCCAAGCAGGTTTGGACTAATGGTGGTTGCCACTAATATCTGATTAAATCTTTACTGTGCTTAAAAAAAAATAAATTAAAAAATGTTTTATTCTAAATTACATCTATGCAGAAATTGAGGCTGATGTTATCAGGAATGTGTAATTAAAAGATGTAAAGATTTCCAATTATCTCAATCTTTAATGAATAAAAAAAAAAACATTGAGCAAAAGCAAACAAGTTTTGATCATAAAATGAATCCAGATGTTATATTCTCTAAGGAATGTTTCATTATTGGCTTTAATGAGTATTGCATTGTATTTTCTATAAGAGTTTAAAAAAATGGATCCACAACATTCAAATAATATATAACAAAGGTTGCTGCAAAACTAATCGAAAATATTCTGGTCAGCCTGCAAAGAAGTAACTGAATCATATCTTGCACTTATGTGAAACACAAATTGTTTGTATGTTGGATTTGCAAAGATCATACTAAGTAAACAACCATGTTTAAAGTCTGTAATTGATACTTCTTGACCTTAATGTTTAGTATTGTTAGATTCAGTGCTTAATGTCTAGATTAATACTGTAGGTTTAAACATGTAGGGTCCTTTTGTCTTTTGGCAAAGATAGATATTCTAAAGAAAAAAGGTAATGTTTACAAAGAGTAATTGAGCAGAGGACTGAGATGGCTTAGATGGTTTGCAAGGTGCTAGTGTAGTTTGATGTATTAAGCTGAGGTGTATTGTTTTGTATGTATCATTAGCTTGCATAAATCCCTTAGTCTCTGCAGTATTTCAGTGAATGAATGACCTGTGTGCAGTCTTTCATAACTACATGTTTTACCATTAATGAAAAATTTCTGAGTTCTCTGTGTTAAATTTCATTTGTGTTGGCATTTCAAATATTGTTTTTTTCTTTTATGTCTCCAATAAATACAAAAGTGTGTAAGCTGCAGTAAGTTACCAGATACAGGCGAACTAATTATTTAAAATCATTATTATGATAGAATAGCATTGAGTAGAAGATTGGAAAAGTTTCACAGATATAAACCTGATTAAAAAAAAAAAAAAAGCCCTGATATTTATACAAACTAACTTGTTAGTACAAAAGTGTCGTAGGCTTTTGTAGACTAAAATGTAAGCGACTTTGAGTGCTTTTATGTCTCATAACTGATTTGAAAGCTGAGAATATTAACATCTTAGTTATATTTGCAGATAACAATAAATTGGAGTCACAAAACAATGGTGAAAAGCTCAGAAAATCTGGAGAAAACTTAAAAAATAAATGAACAGATGGGTTGAAGCACCATCACAAACATGTTAATTCTATGTTTTTGCTGTAGTTTTAAACAGAGAAAAGCTTTATCCTGCTAATATCCTGTAAATGAATTTGAAACAGCCTTGAACTGAAGTAGATGCTATGTGGGATGGAAGGTAATAATTTTGACTTGGGTGGTGGGATTATATGGGACTTAAAGCAAGGGCCCAGCAAGAAGTGGCAGTAGCATACAAAATAACATGCATCACCAGGATAATAAATAAATAGATCTTTTACCTATGCTAGTTTCTGTCTGTATAACACTGTTCACACAACTGGAAGTTAAAAAAAAAAAAAACGAGCAAGCAACTTTTTTTTTTTTTTTCCTTATGAGCTGGTGACTGAAAGCCCCAAAATTCAGAACAGAAGAATAAAAACGTCAAATGGGGACACGTAGTACTTAACTCTATGGTACTCTCATCGAGAGTTGGTCAGACAGTTTTAAGAGCTGTCTTCGGGTGCTTTTTTTGTTATCTTTGGTGCTACAGACATTCAGCAGGGAGTGTGTCTCCCTCCCCACCGCCCGTCTTGCTGGAGGTGCTGATGGAGCAGTGCTGGAGGTGACGCAGGCTTTCCTCGTCCCCACCACTGACGAGGTAGTGTGGCAAGGAGCCTCCAGCGGGGCTCTCTTCTTGTAGGCAGATGGAGAAAGGTAAATTGCAGAGAAAGGCAATTTGAGAGAGCAAGCTGGGAAGGAAAGAACAGCCAGGCAAAAAAGAGGGGGGAAGAAAAGTCGTCATTTCCACAGGAAGAGATACAATGGCATTTCAACTAAATCTCCTGTATTTTACTTGAGGGAAGTTTGGCAGCTACTTTTTTTGAGGTTTGTGTGAATGAGGTCAACAGACTTGTTTGGTAGTCATTGTGTTGCTTGCCCTTTTATCCCTTCTTTTTATTTGATTACTACTGCAGAGTGTTATTTGAAAGATTACACTGTGCATTTCTAAGCTTTTCATTGACTACTTGTAGAAGCTTTTAGAATGATTTTCACATCTAAAAGAATCTATTTTGTTTTAAGAGCAGACAGTGAAAAACTCTGTTTGCAGTTTAATTTATAATTTCAGCAATTTTCCCCTGATGAATCTTCTCTAGATCACTTAGTTAAACTCTGTCAATCAAATCCCTTTATGCTGATTGCCACAAATCACTTTTAAACCTTTCAAAAGAACAAGTAGAAGGGAAAAATTCAATTTTAACACCCAGAATCCTAACAGACTGGATTGATCTTTGAAAGGCCTCTTTCAAGAGTTAACAGTAGGAGATGGAGTACTGTGAAACAAAGTGAGTTGTAAAAGTAAATGGTGATTCAAAAGCAGCCTTTATTGGAAATGCCATAATTTTGAGATATGAAAATTATAAAGGTGCCTGTGTAGCTGTAAAGCTTTTTCTTTTCCTGCCAGTGCTGACACAGCTTTGCTGGCTGTTGTAAAAGGGAAGCATGTACTTACGGGTTTGTGCTTTCTTGCCACCAGAAATTTGGAGGTGCTGGACTTCTGTGTGCTGCTGCTTTTCAGCTTCTCTGATGTGCCTAGAATTTTGAGCAAAGGAGAGGCAATTTCAGATGTTTCAGTGTGTTTGCTTCGATGTACATTGCACAATGCTGTTTTGGAAAATACTGCCAGTAGCTGTTATTTAATGACTTAGTTTGTAAGTGGAATCAGTGTCTTGTAGTGACAAACTATATGATGTTTACCCTGTCCTAAAAAAAGAAAAGCTGTACAAAAAATCTTTCCATTAGTTGTCCTTTCAGCTTATGAAAAATGCGGTGAAACAAGGATAGGATTTCAAGCTTTATCACCTACAATGTGTAATATATGGATTTGTCTTCTGGGTGTAACTTTAGCCATTATGATGCTGCAATTGATGTGTATGTGAAGTGGCTATTCCATAAATAATTCTACATATTATAGTTTCCTTGGTATATGTATGTGACTTCCATTGATTTTAGTGACATACATAGTGCAGAATGAGGAAAATCAACATATTATCCCCTCTGTATCAAGTGCTTGCAATTCACATCATATTAAAATCATATTTATAATGTTGCTGCCACTTTCAAATCATCACTTTTTGCAATCATCAATATTCTTTTCTTATTTTTCCCTTCACCAATATGTGAATATTTCCTATCATTCAATGTTAACTATATTCCAAGAGACAGTAGAGAGACAAAACTGATTTACCCAAGTTCCTTGCAGTATCTGTCACACGATTCTACTCTTCATCTTTCGAGCTGGCTGCGCTTAAGGGAGGTTGGACCCTGGTAGGCAGCACACTATGAAGCAGCTCTGTAAAACTCATTTGATTTCCTTTTTTGTTTGGTTGGTTGGTTTTTCCTCCTTCTTTTCTGAACGTATTCAGTTCTAATGTTTTGGTGACAGGGCTCCTTTTGGAGGCCTTGGGTAGTGAGTAACCTCAGAATATCCTGGGTTTTGAGCATGTTTCCAATAAAGCCTCAAAAGTAGAAACAAGCAAATGAAATGACAAATCCACTGCCTATGGAGAAGCCTCCAGGCTTTCAGCCTTATCATCATTCTTAGCAGGGCACAATACCTGTCAGGTATTTCAGACATCGAATATGAAATTTGACTCAATGTAGGACACACTGTCAAGGATATTTCAGATTATTTTAGATAAAATGCCTATCAAAAATCTGATTGAAGCACAAATACAAAGAATGAATGGTGTGGGCAACAAGGTATGGGCTTTTGATAGCCCAATTATGAAACAATTAGCTCCTTTTTAAAGAGCTGTTTGAGGGCATCTTTTCTTAAAGATCATCTTAAAGATGTGCAAGTTGAGAAGGAGGGATAGCTGTAATAGCTCTTTAATCAGGGACTTTCAGATGTTCTGGGCAGAATCTATACATCCAGGCTGAGATGGACCTTGGTCATGGAAGGGCCTCCACCAAACAACACAGTGTTGTGATGGCTGCACGGACTGAGAAGCAGGAGCAAAGGGACAGGATGAGAGACTGCGATCCATGTGCAGATCTTCCTCTGCCTTTCTCCCATCTCCCAGCTTTCACCCTGCCCCTGTGAGCTTGTGGCAATAGATGCAGCGCCTGAGGGGTCACACAGAAGAGGAGGCACGTGTTCTCCTCTAACCTTTTCTTTTTTCCAGCCCATCTGACCTTCTTCATCTTTTTTTTCCTGAGAGCGTTAGCACAGCGTAAACAAAACTTAAAAGGGAGAGCCTGGCTTCCAGCATAGATTTTTCCATCGTTAGATGGTTCTTTAG